CGAGTCCTCCCGATTAATTCTCCAACGCTGGTGCCGGGCTCAATTTCCTGATTTTAATTCTAAAAACACCAAATGCAAACCAAAACCTGGTAAACGTACTATGACTTGAGCTAATTATGAGCCTTGTGACACATTTAAGCTAGAAAAACTATCAAAAATCAATCTCAACACACATCAAACACGTGTTGAAATACGGATTTATCACTCCCAAATAGGTGAAAGTTGAAGAGCACAAAATACAGAACAAGACAGACAAAAAATCTTACAGGCGCCCAAATAAGCGCCCACATTGGCTGCCTTCCAGGCCGCCTACGCTATTTTTGGAAAGTCAGCATTTTTGGAATTTTTGACCGGACCGGAGAAGACCAAAGACTGCCGACACTGGACGAAAGGTGGCCGCCTTCGGTGACCGCCTGCGGCACAAGGCGACAAACCAACCACCGGCAGGTGGGATTTGACGGCAGGCGGCCAGACAGGAATGGCAGGCGGCCTCCTGCTGGACCGTCTGCGGCGGATGAATTGACCGGCGCACGTTCGACTGCCGGTGATAGGACGGAAGGCGGCTGGGACAAGGCCAGAGGCGGCCGCCTGGTTGGGCGCCTACGGTATTTTTTGTCCTATAAATAGCCCGATTTTTGCTGAACTCAAACACACCATTCTTAGTCCGAAACTAGTTCAAAAAGGTCTTCTTCCTCCTCTTCAAGGCTCGGATTTCCACCATTGTTGCACCTCCAACTTCAATCTTTCATATCTTTTTCATTTCAGCTCCAATTTGTAAGTTCTTTATATGAAAATTCATCCTCTCGTCGTGTTGATTCTGAATATATTGTTTTTATTTCCCAAATATTTGTGAAAAATTCTCTGAATTAATTTTAATAGTTTCATATTTTCCATTTGAATTCAAGAAAATTAGATCTTGTTGTTATATTAATCTCCTACTTAGACAACCTCAATACCTAGTATAAATAATGTTTATTTGTGAAAGAAACTAATGCTTAGATGTTGGGAGTATTCACTTTAATATTTTCTTGTGTTGTTATTATTTATGATCATGTCTTATTTTATATATAAAATGTTAAAATTAGTAATGAGTTGTTGTAGTTAATTTACTCTTGGGCATGAATTGAATTAAAGGAATATGGATTGACTTGTTAGCCGAAAATTAGGGGTTAAAATTAATTAATTGGACTAGTTATTCAAAATTGATGAAATAGTAATTAATAATTGTTAGCCATTTTCATTAATTAAATTTTGGAAAATTATTTCTAACTTGTCTATGGGATTAGAAAATAATTTGAGCCAACCATATTTAAGCACGTTAATAAGTCCTAGAAATAAGAAATTTTAATGAAATGGATTTACATCTTCTCTATGAGAATTAAATTCAAATTGCTTAATTAATGAGTTTAATTAGTTAATGAATTTGGCTATTTTTATTGAACAAAATATTGGAGAATTATTTATGTCTTGTCTATGAGATTAGAAGTTAATTCAAGCCAACCATTTTTGAATACATTGATGAAACCTAGAAATAGGATAAATTAATGAAAGTAATTTCTATTCTTGTCTATGAGAAAAGAAATTATTAGTCCAATTTTTATTTTAATTCCCCTAATTACTAGGTCCAAGAATATATCCATTTCTAATTATTCAATTCATTGCCCTTCTTTGATCAATCCATTTAGAGTTTAATATTTTTCATTTAGTTTATTTTTGAGCCATCATTATTCATTAGTATTTGCATAATTTAATTTACTTTATTTTTCAAAAACTAGTTTAGAAAATTAATCAAAAGTTTTAATTTGGAAAGTTTCCAATAATTTGCGATAACCTGTGACTGGACTTAAAATCAAGAAACTCCCCCGCCATTCCTCAAGAGACACGATACTCGGGGAAAACCGAAAGGTTAGACTCCGTTTTACTACAACGCCGCGAAAGTGGTTATCAGGTACCATAATCGCCGGTCTAAAACATCACGGATCCATTCCGGAGCACGCGAAAAGACTAAGTGCACAATTATGCCGACCCCGACCCCGACCGACCAGGGTCAGGAACAAGCGCCAGACAACGAAATAGCTAAGGACCAGTGAGCTGCCCGACCCCGACCTCAACCCCCGAGGTCGGGAAAATGTCAGGCTCAGGAATCCACCAGACTCGGCTAGTTATGAGCCCGACCTCAAGTCACCCGAGCTCGGCATCGGGACTGACCCCAAGAGTCAAACACATGGTCAACGGAAGGGAAGCAGTCAACCACCTCGAGGGAGGGAACAAAGGACAAATGGGGCGAACCCTCTTTTCACAAGCCCGAGCCCCCGAATATCGACCTCAGTACTTCCCGAGGTCTGAATAAAGCATCATGTCTTTAGACAGAATCCACAAGGACTTGCCTCGGAAGGAGGCACCGCCACGTCACTCTCAACATCTGGGAATGTTCTTGATTACCCACGCGTAACCACACGGGATTTCTGACAGCAATTCTGTTAGAAGGAAAATCCAATCAGCCAGCTATAAAAGACTCTCTCTCCAATCAGCTTTACACGTGGCTGCTCCCTAGTTGATTAGACTCTTAGTTTGTTATGGTAGCTTTACACGTGTCCCCTTCTCATTAGATCAGCATCTTTTTGCTTGTGCACCAAGTATTACATGTTTTTCCTTAGTATAAATATCACATTCTAGCTTGTGGAAAGGGGTCTCATTCTCAATACTCTTACTGTTATTCTGCCGGATTACATACCTGTACTTTTCGATCCGTTCACTCTCTCATTTTACTGGGATTCCAACTACCCCTGGTCCGGTAATCCATCAAATACATTATTACACCTACTTTTTTGAATTTATCAGTCATTACACCACACTATTTTATTATCTTCTCATTATACCCTTAATAATTTACATCCCTTGTCATTATTCAAATCTCACCCACTTTCAATTTGTGAAGATTCCAACTTCACGGAGGTAGTATTGTACGGAGTATCATACACGAGGATGAGCTTCTGCCTCTCTACTGCTTTGGAATCAGTTGCACATGAAATGGGGTCCTTGTCTTTTTCAATAGCATTATAGCATCTATATGGCCAAACACATTCTTAACCTGGAGCTCATCTATTATTGCTGATAAATATGCAACATGACAGCATAATCTCACTGCTCTGTTCTATTGGCAAAATATGTGGAGGAGCTAATAACACAAAAAGAAAGAAAGGGCAGTTAGGGGGTGTTTGTCTTGCGTAAAAGGTGGAGGATGGAAATGTTTGGCATGTCTGTCATGTTGGAAAAATGTGTTAAAATTACATTAAATGGTCAATTAAGTGCAATATTTTGAGTGAGGTCCAATTCCGATTTGGGTCGAGTCAAAGTGGTTTCGGATTGCCCTTGTTAAAAGCTACAATTCGATATGTGGTACACTCAAAACGAATAACGGGTGGATGAGAAATTGATTCTCGAATTTCACTCGTTGAAATGGAAAAACTGGGAAAAATTAAGGTTTCTAGTGGGATTTATCACACACTGAAAAAACTCAAGGTATTTTCACCTCCTTATAAAGGGAACCCTCTTTGAAGGAGTTAATATTCTTAGGTGGAAAGACTCTCTTCACGCGCAGGAGAGGATGTCGATCAAATCTCAAAAACGGAGAAGAAAAACCACGACTTGCGTGCACAGGCGACCTGCGGACACGAATGTCATCCAAAAATCTATCTTTCAAAAATACGGTCTAATTTTGTTTCTTCCCATAACGTAGCACCAGAAGTGCTCGAGGTATTCTGGTCGCCCCGGAACCAGAACAATTATTGTCCAAAGTTCGTATCTTTAATGCGTCTTTAAATGTACACTTTTCGATATATTAATGCCCAACGTGCTGGCCATTTATGCCCAACGTTCAGGTCCATTACAGCTCACTCAGTTAACACATCAAAAATCCATCCCTAGATATACCTGACAGGTGTTTTGCAACAACACAGTACAGTTAGCACAAACATTTTGACCTAAATCAGACTTCCAATATTCCGAAAAAAATCTTTAGTGTTCTTGCTTGGTTTTCGTTCGCTGGAACAATTTGTTGAGTGCTCAAACAATTGTTCGTAGTCATCGTATCTTGGGAAACGATTGTTGCAACGCTCCTTGCACGTAGTCATCGTATCCTGGGAAACGATTATTTAATTAATATTTCTTTGTTTTTTCGAGACACACCTAACATGCCATAGATGAGGAAATAAATGCATGCTCCCATCACATGTTTTTCCGATTTTCTTTGGCTATTTAATTAGGACTTTTATATTTTTTGATAATTCAGATTTTGGGACTTACGCTCTCATAATCCCGTAGTTTATAAACTATTTCATACCATTCAAATTAAAACTCTTAAATAGTAAGATAGCTAGTAAATCCGGATCTGATAAGAGTTAACTTCGTCATTACTTTTATTATAGTTGTAGATACCTCTTCTTTTTATAATAAGAAGTACTATTTCTTCTTATAATTAATGAAGTAGAAATGGCATTGAGTGGTGTATAAGTATGGAGTTCAATGGGAGAAAATTTATAAATTAGTCCTATACATTGATGAAATTTTGCTTGTTGCGAATTACGATAGTATACGATCATAATACACGCACGATCTTAAGAAATTTGAGATAAAAGAGTCTCAAATGGAAAGAGATGTAATCATTCTTTCTTATTCATTCATTTATCACGAATTCAAGTGTTTTTAAGTCTCATTCTATTTAAACTACTTTTTCTTATTCATTCATTTATCACGAATTCAAGTGTTTTTCAGAAGTTGATTTCCCCTATCTTCTAAAAATTGTGTATGTGAGCATTTTGAAGCCATCAGAAATGTTTCTGCAATTTTACCCAAACACTCTAACATCTGTTTCTACTTTATGAAAGAATAGAAATAGTTTTAAGAAATAGATCGAAAGAAAGAATGTTACTGTATTATCGGTCATGGAATTTAATCTTACACATGTTTTACTTCAAATTTGTAAGAGTTGAAAGTGAGAGGAAACGGCAGGAGCATCCAAATATAAATTTCATTATCTTGGGTGTTTGACACCAAAGTTACATCATAATCGTGGAATCATTTGGAGAATGTGGGGAGGGTAAAAACATGATCCACAAAATTGTGGTGCATTTTTCATTTACATCAACCGCTTCCTCCATAGTAAATAAAAAAAAAATATTTTACTCAATAAGCACCATAGCGACAGAAAATTTCTCTCGTCATTTAAAACCAGAAAAGATGATTTTTTTAAAAAATGGGATAAAATGAATCCTCTCTCTTTTCATCTGCAGCTGTAGACTGTTTAGACAGACAAAGGAAACCATTTTTCATTGCTTCTTTCTTGCCTTTGTAGCACCTGTGGAAAAATTTAGAATATATGTTAAATTATACGAACTATATAATGTATATATACAAAAATGTCCAAATGAAAAAAAATAATCCAATTCAATATGCTATTAAATCATAGGGATTAGATTAATTTTCAAAAGAAGCAATAAAAAAATACGGAGTAACAAACTAGTTTAAATTTGATAAGCAGACTTCTACGATGCATCGTGTTACATAAAATCGTATTAGTGAGTGTTAGAAACTATCACACGACTCTTCTTATCAAGTTGACATTTTAAAACGCAAATTAAATCTAATTGTACGTAGTTTGATTGTTTGTATGCTTAACATTCATGATTAAGGAAGCTTGTTTTTATTATAGATATTTGTCCCATTTGTACAATCTATGTTGTCCAATTTGATTTGAGTTGAGGGATGTTTAAATGTAATAACCATCATCTCATATAATTGAAGATATAACCACATGTCTCAAAATCTATACATATTTTATTTGAAATTTTGATACACTTTTGTGATGTATATATAGTATCGATACATTTTTTGCATGTTGTGATTGTGACCGAATTTTCATTACAAATTCTACATATTTTCAATAATATCATTGCCTTTTTTTACTAATTAATCTGATCTTACTCATCCGTTTGCTCATATTAATTGATCAATATAGTTCTAATTTATTGTAGCAACTACTTTTTTTTGAAACAAATTATACTTCGTATATATATACACACAAAATTGTATTATGAGGGAAGAAAAGGAGTTTACATGTAACAATTAAATGGAGTGATGAATGAAATAAAGAGGCATTTCGAAACAGAACTAAACAAAAAAAAATGTATATTATATTGTTTACTCACCAGATTTCAGTGAAGCAGCTTTGCTACCCACAGAAGATTTCAAGAACCCAAAGTGCTTTCTAAGAACTGAATTATTACCCTGAAATGAATTATAGTCTGCTTTAGAACATAATACCAAATGACTTTTTGTATTATAGACAAAAGATTAATAAATACTACGTATATTATGAACCTTCAGTTGTGTTTCGGAGACATCAGTAACATATTCCGCGGAAGCTGTATCATCATATAAACTTGTGTTTTCCTGAAAATAATAATAATAATGTAACTTGTTAATGAAGCAAATGACATTTAATTTTGAATCATTCTGGCATGGGTGTACAAGTTTTGCATTTTCACACTCATTTACACGTTCGACCTGTCCTTATACACACACAATCTATCATTTTAAAGTGAATTACATGTAAAATAGCAAACATGTATACAAAGGTGTACAAAATATGTGTATAAATGCTGGGTGTACACGTTTTTTGAGAACAACTTTCGTACACTTGTCTGTCTTACGCACGAAGAGTTGTCTGTACACAGTCAATTCTGTAGGACCCCGCATAGTTGTCCTAGGGATCACTTTTTGTGCATAAGATGAAACGCGTGCTCTTAATCTGATGCAACCAAAGAACCCCACGCCCAAGAAAAAGTTATACTGTAGAAGTATTGACGTTTAAGATAAAAAAGAGCTTTCCCCCACCGGCCTAGATGTTCCGTGGCACCTTCCTATAGGAAACCCAAGGATCTAAGCGTGACTTCTAACTTCTAAGAAAATGATGCGTTCGATATCCCTCTCCGAGGTTACTAGGAACTACTCCTAGTAATTAAATGCACTCGACTTTGAAGTAGTAATTAAATGTACACTAAAAACTACATAACAACTCGTACTAATTAAATGTAATTAGACGTTGAACTTAGAACTATTAATTGAACGTACACTACATCAATACGCTATAAACTAGGATCAAACTTACTCCATTGAGTATTGAATCAGAGACCTCACATAATGAAGAGTGAGTCGGTGACCACTTCCTATAGTAAAATAAATATATTAGACCATATTTAGAATGATTCTAATTGGATTGCCTTTAGTCCCATACGAGACCTAATTGAAACATTCTGGACCAGTCCAGACTCGATCACATTTTGGTAGTGGTAAAATACACAAAAAATAGACATCTAACATATCAGACTAGACTTAAACATACCAGATTAGATAAAATTTAAACAAACCAGGCTAGTTACGAAAAACTTTATCCAATTAAAAACATCCTTAAACATATCATATTAGTTAAAATTTAATACACAAATTGAAAATTTATAGTTCAACTAAAAACATTCAAGTGTTTCCTCTTTCAATCTATTTAGCCTTTTAATTTTGTATTCTAATTCATGTCCATCGCACACATGAAAAACAACTCACGACTGTTCGATCTTTGTTGTGTATTTTAAAAATTATTCTTAAAAAGTGCTAGATTTACTTGAGAGTTTAAAATTTCTTATAATAGGAAGTGCTCTTTTTTGAAGTTGTATATAATGCACTCAAACTGTTATAACTCACTTAAGAAAAGTTATACTCCGTATATAAAATTTTAAAATCATATTTATGTTTACTTGAAATCATCAAATCTTTCAAGAAACTTTAAATAAGAGAAAATCATGTTACGTATTCGTGAATCGTGATCGTGTGCTCATTATCGCACAATAGAAAACTCTTCTAACACACATTGTCACGACACGTATTTAGAAAATCCGTTCCATTTTGACTATAAACCAATTGATAACGAACAGTTTTAAACGAGAAAAGAGAAATGTCAAATACGTATAAAAGCTATAAATGTAAATTATATTGAACATTTAAACAAAAGACACCCCCAAGACTCTTGAATGTGAACGTTCTTTATTAATGGTCATTAGTTTGCTTAAATTGTCATGAATTTGAATATTGAACCATTTTTTATCATCAATTTTCGTAGCTAGCTCTTGGGTGCCTTTGACTAGGTATGGTCTCAATTTTGTTGTGGACATCCCTCATTACACCTAAAATCAAATTTCAATAAGATAGTTTCCATATATTCAACCCACCACGCTACACTTAACTCTTAATTTTGGTAGAGTGAGAATTATGTGGCCGAATGATATTTTGATAAATAGAAAAATACCAACCACAAAATTATGCCTTTAAAAGAAGGGTAAAATAAATAAAATATCATAAACTTTGCATAGGTGTGATATCTCTACCCCAAACTTGTCCATGTTGCGTAAATATCTCCTACTTTGTAAAATTGAGATATTTATGCCTCATGTCCTACCAAACCATCTATGAAAGCACACATTTTTTGGGAATCACGCATTCACGCATCTTTTTTTGCGTAATAAATCTAATTAACAAATTTTAATTTGAGAAATATTATTTGTTAATTAAAATAAGGTACAAAAAATTTAAATAAATAAAGTTGGGGGTATTTTTTTAACTAGGACAAGTACAGGGTGGGGAGCTCACACCAATGCAAAGTTCGGCGTATATTATTTATTTCCCCTTAAAAGAAAAAGGAGATAATTTAGACGAAAAAAGAATAAAATTTGTATTGACATGCACATTAGGATAGGATGATTATTTGTGGATCACATGAATTGCTACCAAGAGTAACATCAAAAAATGAGATCACCCAAATATTGTACTCCGTGGTCAGGGGTGGAGACAGAGAGGGACTGGAGGGGGCCTCGGCCCCTGCAAGAAAAAATTCTTAAGTATATATTATGTATAAATATTTTTAATCTATAGAAAATATGTGTATATTTTAAACTTTGGCCCCTGCAATGTAAAATTTTTAAGAACCGGCCCCCTTAAGCATAGATTTCTGGCTCCACCACTGTCAGTAGTAGTATTGAAAAAAAAATCTTTCTGGCCACTCAAGATAAAAAAGTAATATCCCCCTTTTCTTTTGTTAAATCTTTCCTTTTGTTTTATCGTGAGAGATATGATTATTTTCACTTAGCTTTTTTCAGGAGATAATTGTGGAGTTGTTTTTGTTTTCTTATAGTATCAATTTAACTTGTACAATTTTCATTCGTTTGGAAGTTAGTTTGTTAAATTAAAGCAGATTTCAAAAAAAGGAGGGGCTGATATACTCCATATTTTTTTGTAGTAGTATTGACAAAAAGAAATGAACTGTCTCCCACCGGCCTAAAGGCACGGTGGTAAGTGGTAACCATGTGAAGGCAAAACCCTTGATCAAAAGCCCATTTTCTAGAAAAAACAATACATACAGCAAAAAAAAAGAGAGATTATAGTTCAATTTCATCGTCACACAAAACTGTCTGTTCGATTCTGGAGCGTCAGAAATGCACTACATTGCTAAAGAAAATGGAGTTTACTCATTGAATAGAATAGTTTACCTGATTAGGGAAGCTCAATGAGCTGGCAGTATCATCAAGACAGCAATTTTGTGTTTCACCACCCCAATGCTCTTTGGTTTTTCGTGTTTGCGTAGGTTTGTAGCGCCGAGGAGGGGAATTATAAGAACACCCGTAGTAGTCTTCCCGATATTGCGGTGGTCCCGATGATGCATCAGACACCATGGACAAGTCCTCATCTTCACTATAAACCTCCAACTTTCCCCTATTATCATCATCACCATTGACATGAACAACTCTGTTGTACTCATATGCAGAATTTGAGTACTGGTCAAAATAGGTTGTCCAGCCAGATTGGCAGCCAGAGGTGCATTCAGAGCCTGATATGTTCATTCTTGAAGTTTTTTTCTTGAAGATATGGCCACTTTTTTAATACAAGAATGAAGGGAGAAAGCACAAAAAAAATGGGAAGAATATGGATGTATTTATAGGAGGGGCCCTAGAGGAGGCCAGCTCTAGGAAACCAAATGGTAGCAAGGCACAAATCCTAGCCTACACTAGGTGCCTTTAGTTATTTGCTTTTGTCGTTTTTGGGCTTTTATTTTATTTCTTTTTGCATCTCTTTCTGTGAAGGATCAAAAATTGCCAGTTGGCTTTTTGCCTTTGACATTTGATATTGGTAATACATGTTGATCGTGCAATGGACATGTGCTGAGCAATTTTGGTGTAATTGCCACCTTTTCCATTGGGTGACAGTCATTTCATTGCTAGTTTCTCTCAGAATTTACCTTTACCTTTTCTTTCTTTTACGCGGTACTTTTATTTTAAGTTTTTAACCGCACCACCATGAAATTGTTACTCCATTTATTAATTATTTAGACATTTAGTAGTCAATATGTCCCCAAATATAGTCTTGGTCATGCTTATCTTATTTATTTCCTTTTTAGTTAGTTATTGTACCTGTAATTAGATAGTCAAATCTCCTGTGCCTTCATGGAAATACAATTTGGAAAAATACTTCTATATATTAACATCAATTTTGATTCAATGTCGATAATTATAACTGACACGAATATATGTATATCATTACCTCTGTCCCAAAAAGGTTTATCATATTAAATTTGGATGATGATTCTAAAGATTCTATTTGTATATATTTTATAAATTTTATGCTTTTATAAAAATATTTTTAATAAGGAACATTTTAATATAATTTTCACATTCAAATAATTTCGTATTAAAATATCATTAATCAAGCATTCCAGCCCAGCTGGTTGTGAGGTTATCGTGTCTAGTGTAAGATCTTGAGTTCGAAACCTGCTAGGCACATAAGGGTGTGAAACTCAATGGAGTGACTTTAAGCCCTTATTACTCCAGGCCCCCCAGACCCCCTCCCTCAGACCCCCTGGAGTAAAAAAAATATCATTAATCAAAGTTGACTATAATTGATAAATAAAAGTTAATTTAACAAATCTATTTGTGTTAGAGGGAGTACTAGAACAAAATAAAAAAATTAAATGTCCTTTTATCACATTCACGACACGGGTTGAAATATAATACTTGTATTAGATAGTCAATTTATATCCTTTGATTCTAAATTGAACTGCAGAGATTCAGATAAATTATATCTACTCGTGCCTTTCGGGAAAAAAATTATATCTACCCGGTAAAATAGTCTGACTTTTGTTTCACGAAGTAACATATTTAAACTTTTAACTTACCAAAATGATAACATGGATGTGCACACAAGAGTACTAAATGGAGATTTGTTAAATACTTGTTTCCTCCTTTATAACTTTGTCACCTTTCTTTTTTTGTTGTTTTAAAAATTGTTATTTTCTCTTCTAATCAATTTTCTTGTAGTTCATGTTATTTCTTTCTCCTCTACACAAATCTCAATCACACAGTTTTTACTTTACTATTTTTTCGTGCAGATCAAACTTGACAAAATTATAAAGTGCTATCGTTATGTTTGAGTAACTTAAGGTCTAAATGAATCATATGGTTGTAATTCTTATATCAAAATATAATTGTAAAGTAATTTAGTAGTGAAAAATTGTTACCAAAGGTATATTTTAGTTTCTTTCATATTTACTCATATTGATTATAGATTTATTAGTGATAAAAATTAAAATGTTGAGAACTCGAGATGTGAATATATTTTATGTATTATATATACATGAATAATCAGACACTTGAACTTATTAGAAGCATATGGTAAATTATGGCACACGATAGCATGATAGCATGACATATATGGAAAATGGTATTTGATAATTGATAATCTGAATGAAAGTTTATATTTTGTCAAATAAATGTTAGTTCCTATTACCTTAACATTATTCTACTTTATCCCCTGATGAATTACATACCAAATATAATTAAAGTTAGTGTCTTAATTAAAACAGCAAATTGTTTGTGTCACTTGACTTCAACCTGAAGTATAACAATTATTGCATAAATGAATGGCAATCATAATTAATCACTTCTTATTTAGGTATTGAGGGTGCAAAAAAGTTATTTCATTTGGATGAAATATAATTGAGTTTTATGTAACAATGAACCAATTAGATACTATGAATTGACACTCGAATACTCAAATATTTTTGGTTAAGTTGTCCATTATCTTTAGATACTATGAATTGACACTCGAATACTCAAATATTTTTCTCTACCTTCTATAATAAAACTAAAAATAATGCTATACAACATCTTTTATCCCATGCATGGCATGAGTAAAAAATACGGGTATTAGCCCTCAATAGGAGTAAAATAAGCCCAAAATTCAACAATAGGAGTACATCCTTTTATTCTCAAAATAGGACTAAAATATGTCTCTTCTTCCCATTCTACCCCCTTCCTATCATTTCCAATAGATTTATTTTATTAATAAGAAAATCAAAGTTTTATTTGTAATAAAAATATAAAAAATAATAAAATATTTATAAAATAATAATGAAAACGTGAAAAAATAAAATAAAAAATAAAAAAAATAAAAAAAATATCTAAAAAATTTTAAAAAGTCCAAAAAATAAAATAAAATACCTAAAAAATATTTAAAAAATATGTAGGTCACAACCAACGCGTCCTCTACCTCCCAGCACCACCGACTCCGGTCGCCGGGAAAAAATGTCATCTTGTGTAAAAAAATGCCACATTTCTCTGAAAATGTCATAAAGATGGCATTTTTACTTTTTGAAAATATCCAGTTTTCTTTGGTTTTCTCTTCAAAATTGCCATCATGATGACATATTTTTTCCAACTTGGTAATCTTTTCCGGTGACCGGAAGTGGCGGTGCTGGAAGGTGGCTGAGGTGGTGGTTGGGGTCTATATATTTTTCAATTATTTTTTACGATTTGTTTTATATATTTTATAATGATTGTTTAAAAATCCTATTATCAAGGGCAAAGGAAAGGGTAGAATAGGAAGAGTTAGTCCTATTTTGGGAATTTAAACTTTAAACTCCTATTGTTGCAATTATCCTTTTATTGGTAAATCTCCCATTAAAAAATACTAGTAAGCTATAAATTGTAAGATTACTTTTTTATATAAGTACGTTACGCCGTGTTACAATATTCTAGTACGTATTGTGTGAGTTTGACCATCGGATCTAAGTTTATGTATACGCCATAGACCCATAGTCTTCTGAGAGACGATGCATTTTTCTCGCACACTTTGCTGACTTCGAAAAATTTCCTCACTTATGCATATACATTAAATAAATAAATGGCATTTTCTTGATAGTATCTTTCTTAGGATGGTGATGAGAGTACTGAAAATTTTGCAATCCCACATTGTCATCAATTTAAATTAATGTGAGACTCTAGTGCAATTAATAACTCGAGAAAAATGACTTCCCATGCATGTATGGTTCTGTTCATCGTTCATGATATACATGCACAAGGGAGTCTCCTTAGCAGGTCTCCTCTCCACTTTTCAAGTAACCAAAGTTCAAACAAAAATGATATTTGTATTTACAATTATACTCACTTTTATGCCCATCAATGTTTGTGAATGTTTTTTGTCTGTGAATTATATTTCGTTCACAAAAAAAATAGGTGTTATTTTACCTGTGTAATTAAATTTGCTCATACAAAATAAAACATATTTTATCTATGAACACGACTTACCGATAAAAAAGCCTTCACGGTGTGGTATAACCGTGTAAGGGGCCGGGGTACAAGAAGCATTGTTGAAGTTAAAAATCTACTAAAGGCATCAAATTTCCTCACAGTCTCGTCTCAGAGTCACTGAGTCATCAATTCATAGTACTCCGTATGAATGAATAGATTTAGGTAATTTTTTTCAAAACAGGAGCAAAACCGTTATTTGAATTCCAAAATAAAAATTCTATGTTTCACTCTAAAGTAAGAGTACGTTACTATCATCATCAAAATTTAATTAATGTCATATATATTGGCATCACCAAACTTTAAATATGGCAGACACAAATTCTATCAAAATCAATTTGGAAAGGAGTTAGTACTAATTAAAAATAATTACATATTTATGATTAAAATAAAGATTTTTTACAAAAATGTGACTAGTGATTAGATTAGTAATAGAAGCATAGTAACTTATGTTCACTTTTTTTAACTTAAGTTACCATGGCCCTACATTGTAGTAACTATGAGTTATATTTATGTAATAAGTTTATTTTAGTAATAATTTTGAAATAACCTTGCTAATTAGGTTATGATTTAAATACGTTTTTAATCACTGTAAATATGAAACATTTTGTTTTAAGTTTTTGTAATTCAATTTACGTTTTCATCCCTATAGTATACATTATTTTGTTTTAAGTTGCTTGTTCAAATGTTTTGAGACTAATATGCATGAGAGTTAAAACAATCCAAAACTAATTATTTATATTTATAAATATAGTTTACAATTGTTTAAAAATTAAATGAAATACGTTTTTAATATCATGTCAAAGAATAAGAGCAAACCTATTGGTTGGGGTTGTTTTATTGTCAAATGAAGATTGTTGGCGAGGGGCTAAAAGCAAAAGCAACATAAGTTAATTGAATTAAATGAAATATAAGTTATGAATTGTGCATTATTTAAAACTGAAATGTGCACCGATATGGATGTAAAAACTCAATCACGTTTTTTAAATATGATAATGAACTTTTTTGTTGTCGTGAAATGGGAATTATCTTAATTAGAATTGCACTATGAACATACTGTGCACCATTCTCACTTTTCACGTGTTCTTATGCATAGTGAGAATAATTCTTGTGCATTCATTTCTAGATCTAATGATTCAAAATGAGCCAACAATTCACTAGATTTAATCAAAACACACGGTGACAATCGCATAAATAAACCGAAGTTTTTTGCCACTATGACAAAGATGAAACAGAAACATGCCATAGTGCAACGCAGTGAGAGAAAAGTGCAACCGTTCGCACTTTGCACGGAAGCCCCTATTTTTATTTAAACTCTTCCCTATATAGAATGCAGTTGTTTATAAAATTCAATCGGGAAGGTATTCAAATATGTAGTCCTAGA